CAAGGAATAGAAAAGGGTCGTGGCGGAAAAGGAAGCTTGTTCGTTTTTGCATCCGGTAATGGAGGTGCCAATGATGATAACTGTAATTATGATGGCTACACCAACAGTATATACACATTAACTGTTGGAGCTGTTGATCGTAAGCATGTACTCCCCTACTATGCCGAAAGATGTACTGCCTTATTAATCACTACTTATAGTAGTGGCAGTGGAAGTTATATTGTATGTATGGATTTCGTTATAATTATTTATTTTTTCCTTTGTCGATTTCAATATTATACTAAGTTTATTATGTGTAAATAATAATATTAGTATACAACTGATGTGGGCGTTAAGAAATGTACAAATTTGCATGGTGGTACATCTGCAGCTGCACCAATTGCAGCCGGGGTTTTTTCATTAGTATTGCAAATAAGGTAAAATAATAATAATAATAATAATAATAATAATAATAATAATAATAATAATAATAATAATAATAATAATAATGCGTGTGTATGCATGTATTTACTTATTTATATTTATATTGTATATATTTTGCAGGCCTGATCTTACATGGAGAGATATGCAATACCTAGTATTGAATAGTGCAATGACATTTAATTTAGAGGATCCTGATTGGCAACTAACCAAAGCAGGGCGACTTTACAATTATAAATTTGGATATGGAAAGTTGGATGCATATACTTTGATCCAGAATGCAAAAACATATAAACTATTGAATCCACAGGTTAACATTGAGATGCCAATAATTAACGTTACTAAACCTATACCAATGAATCAAGAAGGAATTATTAGTAAGGTGGTTGTGAAGAAATCAGATGTTGACAAAGCAAATATGAAAAGATTGGAACATGTAACTGTGACTATTAATGTTATTCATGAGAGAAGAGGTGATATAGAGGTTGATTTGATAAGTCCAAATGGTATTGTTTCTACCATTGGATTACCAAGGATGTATGATGAAAATATCGGTGGACTTAATAATTGGACATTTATGAGCGTTAAACATTGGTTAGTGTAACTGATGTTTTTGAAAAAATTTATTTTATTTATTAGTAATTTTAATATTAAATACTAAATTTTTAGGGATGAATCACCAATTGGTACGTGGACGATACAAGTTCGCGATAGAAGAAATCCAAAATTTAATGGAATATTTGTAGATTGGATGTTGAAATTATGGGGCGAAAGAACTGATAATAATGAAAGTGGCAAAAATAGTAGTGATACCAACAATAATTCAGATAAAACCTCTACTACAATAATAACCAATACCACCCCTTCAAGCATTGCAGAGTCAATATTATCTTCACAGACATCAACCAAATCAACTGATGATAATAATATCAAACCATCACTACCAATACCAATACCATCATCATCACCACCAGTAAGTGATGACAATAATAAGATATCAACATCTACAATACCATCATCACCACCAGTAAATGATGACGATAATAAGATATCAACAACAAACAATCCTATTTCAACAGAAACACAACCGGCTACTACAAATGCAGCTGATAACAACAACGATGATAGTAGCAGCAGTAGTAGTAACAGCATCAATAGTAATTGGATTTGGGGTATTGGAGTAGTTATGGCGTTTACATTGGCATATATGGTTTATGCGACTAGGAAATGGTATTGGGATGATGTGAAGAAAATAGTATCTGAAGTATTCTCTAGGAGAACATATGCATCGGTGTTACGACAGCCATCTGATCGAACATCTAATGATGAGGATGGTGACCTTATTCCATTGACAAGAGGCAATAAACAATTCACGACATCAAGAGAATTGTTTGATGCATTCGGAGATGAGGAGGAGGAGGAGGAGGAAGAAGAGATGGTAATGATGGGAGATCGACAGGTTGTATATGAAAATTCATATATGGATGGTTTTATAAATGATGACCATATTAATGATGATGATGATGATGATAATGTTGGCGGAAGTGGCGGTGATAATAATGATCAACAAAATTAAGAGATAGTAAGCAAAGGAGAAAATGATGATACATAATTACAACAAGGACAATAGAGTAACAAGGATGTCATGTGACATTTATTTATTAAAAAAATAACGTAGATTAAATTTATAGAATCTTATTTTCATTTTAAAAATATTAATATTTATTATTACTAATGTTTAAGCAAGAAATTAAATTAATTTATAATAATAAAATATAATACCACTTTATCACATAATAATAATCGAACAATTAAAAGTTATTTAGTGCACATCTTCGAAAAGATCTCGTATTTCTCTACTCATTGACAACAATGGACTTTCTTGATCTGTTAACTGCGGCATTGGAATAGTAACACGATGTTCATTATTAAATGGTTTTTTTCTATTTTTACTCATTAATTATGCTGCTGGTATTATTTTCTCTATCACCAAAACACCATTCCGATATATAAAAAGTTTTCCTTCGCTATTTTCAAATTGATTCATGCCCGCTAAAAACGAATTATTTTTCGGTAACTTCGACTTGGTTCCCTTGAACGGGGGGTTTTCAATGCGAGAAGTTTATTTTGCAACAAAAATTATTTTTTTTCTAATGACATACCGATGGTGGTGGTAATATTGGCTTGATTAAGGAAAATTGTTAAGGCTAATTGATAATGCTATATATGGTTAATAGAATATTTTGAAAAATACTTTTATTATTTCGAGATTCACCAAACATTATACAGTCATACCTCTCTCCACATATGTTGGGAACCAATTTCATAGAAAAATCATCTCCATATAGGGAAAAACCTCTCTACAAGAACATCTGGAATGTTCCCGACAATTTTATGTTAAACTAAACCCTTTTTATTATTCATTAATTACCACGTTATTTAATGGAGACATTAATGTTTAGCATGTTTCAATTACAAATTTAATGCCCGCTAAAAACGAATTATTTTTCGGTAACTTCGACTTGGTTCCCTTGAACGGGGGGTTTTCAATGCGAGAAGTTTATTTTGCAACAAAAATTATTTTTTTTCTAATGACATACCGATGGTGGTGGTAATATTGGCTTGATTAAGGAAAATTGTTAAGGCTAATTGATAATGCTATATATGGTTAATAGAATATTTTGAAAAATACTTTTATTATTTCGAGATTCACCAAACATTATACAGTCATACCTCTCTCCACATATGTTGGGAACCAATTTCATAGAAAAATCATCTCCATATAGGGAAAAACCTCTCTACAAGAACATCTGGAATGTTCCCGACAATTTTATGTTAAACTAAACCCTTTTTATTATTCATTAATTACCACGTTATTTAATGGAGACATTAATGTTTAGCATGTTTCAATTACAAATTTAAAACACCACTAACCAATTTAAATAAAATATCATTTTCAGCCATTTTATTGTTCTTGGAAATTGTCCTTTGTTACTATTGGATTAATTATCCAGTGTTGATCATTCCCGATTTATTTGAAAATATATTTATACCTAAAATTAAACTGTAATGGAAAAAATGCAAACTTTATATTTTTCATTACATATTTATTTATTTGGCGCACAAATCAAATACTTAGAAAAAGACACAAACGAGTACCACTTCCACCACCTACTCCATCACCAACAGATAATTCTCATAAATTCCTGGATCCAGATGAAATTGGTAAATCAATAGGAATTCACGATCCAGGATTTAAATATCAATGGCATTTGGTAATAATAATAATAATAATAATAATAATAACCATATTAAACAACATTCAGGGATATTGATTTTAACTATAAATTATTATTGTATATAGCTTAATTTAAATGAAATAGGACATGATATTAATGTTACGGGCATATGGAAAGAAGGTATTTATATTTTTTAAATGTTCTCTCCCCACAACCCCCTCCCCTCCCTTCTCCCAATATATATTCACAAATACACGTATATAGAAAGAAACATAGTGCAAATGAAATTTATATAATTATTTATTACAAATTTGTGAAATTTCAAATTTTTTGATTTGAAAAAAAAACAAAACTCGTACTAATACAATAGATGATTGATTGATTGATTGATATCTCCATCATAAGGAATAACGGGCAAAGGAGTTGTTGCTGCTATTGTAGATGATGGATTGGACATGTATAGTGAAGATTTGGCTGATAATTTTGTATGTTGTAGGCAAAATATAATAATATAAATCATATTTATTAACATAATAATAATAGTAAATAGTAATAATATTTAATCTCTATAAAAAATAAAAGTACGCAGAAGGATCATATGATTTCAATGATCATAATCCACTACCAAAACCTCGTTTAATTGATGATACGCATGGAACAAGATGTGCCGGAGAAATAGCTGCCGTGAAAAACAGTGTATGTGGTATTGGTATTGCTCCAGATGTCAAAATAGCAGGTATTTTAATAGTGTAATGATAATTGTAATTATGATTATTACTATCTTTATAATTAAAATTAACAACAATACAACAATATTATTATATTTAAGGTATAAGAATATTGTCTGCACATATATCAGATGCTGATGAAGCGGAGGCTTTGAATTATAAATTCCAAAAGAATGACATATATTCATGTAGTTGGGGACCACCTGATGATGGGCAGTCGGCAGAGGCACCTCAAGGTGTGATACTTAAAGCGATAGTAAAAGGAATAGAAAAGGGTCGTGGCGGAAAAGGAAGCTTGTTCGTTTTTGCATCCGGTAATGGAGGTGCCAATGATGATAACTGTAATTATGATGGCTACACCAACAGTATATACACATTAACTGTTGGAGCTGTTGATCGTAAGCATGTACTCCCCTACTATGCCGAAAGATGTACTGCCTTATTAATCACTACTTATAGTAGTGGCAGTGGAAGTTATATTGTATGTATGGATTTCGTTATAATTATTTATTTTTTCCTTTGTCGATTTCAATATTATACTAAGTTTATTATGTGTAAATAATAATATTAGTATACAACTGATGTGGGCGTTAAGAAATGTACAAATTTGCATGGTGGTACATCTGCAGCTGCACCAATTGCAGCCGGGGTTTTTTCATTAGTATTGCAAATAAGGTAAAATAATAATAATATAAATAGTAATAATAATAATAATAATAATAATAATAATAATAATAACGGGTTTTGCTCTATAATTTAAGCTCAATTTATGACCCATGTGTGAATCATTACTATAATGGACATTTTTTCGTAAACCATTATAGAAAGTGTAAAGTATATTAATATTAATATTTAAACACTACACCACATTACCGTATGCTTGACTTGGTTGTAGTTGTATTAAAAAAATAAGTAATATTTAATCATAATATTAATACGTGTAAAAACATATATCATTTGTTTTTTACGAAGAGAAAACATTGAAATATAAATCTTTTTTATTTTATTAACCTTCAAAGTGAAATTGTTCTCAAAAATTATTTTAATTATTTCTTATAAATATGAAAAGGTCTTGTGACCTTGATTTTTCAACTGCAGATTTAAGCACAGTAACCTTATCTCTTCCTTACATGCTTCAATTTTAAAACAATTACCGTCTGAAAACGACACTTGATTGATCATTGGATACGCACGATTTTTTTTTTAAAAAAATAAAATACCAAAGAAATAATTGTATTATGTAACTAAGAAATAAAAATATATACAAGAAAAAAAAAATATATATATACAAGAAAAAAAAAATATATACAAAAAAAAAAAAATATATACAAGTAAAACAAAAAAATATATACAAGAAAAAAAAAAAAATATTTACAATATTTACAATGAGCGGGGAAAGAATCAGATAAAACGTCGATATAAGATAGTGTTCCCACGGACGAAGACTTACGATTAAAAAAATATATACAAGAAAATAAAAATAATTATATAAATAAAAATTAAAAAAAAAAAAAAAGAAAAAAATAAATTAAGAGCTCTGGAATTATCATTTAGTCGACCAGCGACTAAAGACAAATCCTCTATAATATTAGCCACATCCGTGAGAACAATATCGAATACCGACGTATTAGCTGCGGTCCACGCACTAGGCGCGAAGCCAGCTTCTTTCGATCGGCCAACCAAGATGCCAATCGTCTCCCTTGCCTGCCTCAGGAGAACCCCCTCCAATTCGTACACCGCCGGACGACCTGTAAATGTTTGATATTAATTAATTGAAAGTTATCTTAATTAATGTGATTCGCATAAATAATTGATATAATACCTATTTTCTTTCTCCAATTTTTACATTGTACAACAAACGGGATGCTGCAGGCAACTCCTTTAATATCGATTCCCATGTCGCCCGGCCCGCTGTATAATAGATAAACAATAAACAATAATAATGAGTATAATGTGTCATCATCAAAGAACTCGACAAAATAACTCTGTGAAAAACACTCACCCAATATGTTCGCACTCAATCCCCGCATCCCTCAATTTGTTTAAAACTTCTAGTTCAAGTGCAAATGAAGATCTCATGTTTTAAAATATGTTTTAAAAAAAAATTTTTAAAAATTATTAAAATACTTATATTAATTGAAAATATACCCAGAATGTTCTATAACCAACTTGAAAGGGAAGAAGTCAGCGTAAATAGTTTCATATTATTATTTATTATGTTGCGAAGAGTGGGAATTTTTAACAATAAGTATTATGTTCCTATTATTGATAAAATTTCTTGATTCATATTGTTTATTCACACGCAGTCTATTAAGTAACAACACATTGATCATTGTTAAAATATAAAAAGTATAAAGGTTATTTATTATTGTGATATAGATTTAATTTAGCAAATTTCAAAGATTTCATTTCGAAATATTGGTGGCGTTTTTTAAATGCTTTTTTTCTATGATGTAATTAATCGAATTGGGTATATGCATGATTTATGTGGTTGCAGAATAAACAAAAAAATAAGAAGAAGAATTCGATGATTCATTTTATATTTTAATATCAAGTAATAATTACTTACGAAAAATGGTAGAATTGGTAATAATAATCAATAATAAAGTTATCTACTTCCTGGATTATTATTATTGTTAATAACGAAATGAAAAAATATTTATGATGACGAATTTACTCTCTACGTGTCTGAAGTCATTCTTGGGTAATCGGAAATTTAACAATTTACAAATAAATGAGAGTTATGCCAAAAAAGTATATATTTTATTTGTGCGCCAAATAAATAAATATGAAAAATATAAAGTTTGCATTTTTTCCATTACAGTTTAATTTTAGTATAAATATATTTTCAAATAAATCGGGAATGATCAACACTGGATAATTAATCCAATAGTAACAAAGGACAATTTCCAAGAACAATAAAATGGCTGAAAATAGCCTTAGAAGAGAAATTGTAACCTGATATTTTATTTAAATTGGTTAATGGTGTTTTAAATTTGTAATTAAAACAAAAGGCGGCATGCTAAACATTAATGCCTCCATTAAATAACGTGAATAATTAATGAATAATAAAAAGGTTTGGTTTAACATAGAATTGTGACAAATTAAAAATAATAATAAATAACTCTATCAGAATATAGTAACTTTTTCTAGATGTTCTTATAGAGAGGTTTTTCTATGAGCTTAATAGTAATTGGTTCTTGGAGAGAGGTATGACCGTATAATGTTTGGTGAATCTCGAACATGTCAATAAATATTATGTCATTTTTCAGTTGTCAGTTGAATTTTATGATAATCTAATTTTTTTATTTATCATTATAAATTATATAAGTAATACAAACAAATATTAAAGATACAATTGTTGAAATTAATAATTATTCAATAGCAGTAATTATTTCTGAATATTGATAGTAATAAATTTAAATTTATGTCATTCAATTTATTATAATCATTTGATCTTTTAAATTGTAATGTAATATTTGAAATATCATTGAATGAATGCATGAATCAATACTTTTTATCTGGATAATCAAAAGCATCACTAAAAATACTAAAATCATCAACATTAGTGCCACTGGAAATTGCATCTTGATTATTGTTCATCAGTCACATGTATTATCTGCTTCAGTGTCACTTATAACATTTACCGATTTTGAATCTGAAATATCTGGAAGAGTAAGTTTAGTTATAGTGATCCTTTGATTTTCATTTTGCAATCTATAACAATTAAGCCCAGTAATAGAACAATGTAAAGTTATGTTCAACTTATGTTCCAATAATAAATATAAAAATATATTATAAATTAAAAAATCTCCCATTTAAAATATTAAAATTACCCATCGTTATTGTAGTAGAAAGTTACACATAAAAATGAAATAAATGGTGGGGGTAAATATGGTTGCTTGCCAAAACTTCTTCAGAAATCAATCAGCAGTTTCAACATCTTAAACTTTGTTGAAGATAAAAAAAACACATCCTCTTTGAAACGCGTGTTATTTCTTTAATAAAATAAAAAAACCATTAATTTTAATGTCTTGAACTTAAGATAACTGTTCAAATAAATTATAAAAAAGATAGTAACTACATACAGTTCATTCTCTCTATAACGGATCTATCTTTCTATGGTTGGCTCGGTCTAAAGACCTCCTATTGCTGCGCCATGTGGCCAAATTTCAAATTTTTCAAAAAATAGGTCTTCACGTGATTTTAGTTTTAAAAACTATTTCTTACCAGTTACTGCCAAATTTAGATACGATAGTTTAAATTTAGTAATAATTTTCCTAAATTTAGAAATGATCATAGTGGAAAAATTCCTCGCGAGCATAGTAAAGTACATGTTTTAAAAAAGAATAGAACTCTACAACAAATAATTTTTTTGAGAAAATCTCTCTATTACATTAAAACTAAAGACATATTCTATCAACTAATAGAGCTATTTTTTAAAAGGTAGGACAGAAAGTGACTTCTATACTTTTAAAATTTGCCCAAAATTTAGGAGGTCTTTAGACCAAGCCAACTATATTAGCAAGTGCAATTTTCTTACTTTCTTGCTTCTGAATCTACTGGACATTCCTTACATAATTATAAATTGGTTTGTTATTATTAAAAGAAATTCAGAAGATTGGAAGAAATCTACCCTTTTTATATATATTTTTGAACATAATAAATCATGAATTATTTAATGATGAGATAATAAATCGTGAATTATTTATTAATGATGAGATAATAAATCACAAATTATTTAATGATGAGGTAATAAATGACATACAGTGTGTAACAAAAAATTTTGGCGAATTCAAACACTAATAACTTTCCCAAAATAAAAGTGATTCATTTCATGTTTTGAATATATAAAAAATATTACCTAAACTATATTAGGCTACATTTAAATTGTTTTGTTTTGTTATGAAATCATCACCACAATGTCATCTTCCGATAAAGAAACCCAAAGAAAAGCAATATTACAATTGTGGAATAATGGAATTACTTCAGCAAAGAAATACATTCTAGAACTGGTATCATAATGCCAACAATCTTAAAAAATTAATAGATAATTGCAAAAATACTGGATATTACTAACTTTACTTCTTTTCATCTAAGGAACAGTTGGCCTGACTACCACAAGGCACGAAGGTGGAAGAATGAGTCTAAGCAGCCTAAGCCAGTTGGCAGATCCTTGGTTCACTTTCACTACTTAAAAATTGTGTATAACTCTGTAGTAGTTATAGGATTAAATAACACAACTTTCGGAAATGTTGATATGTCTGAAGAATCAAAGAAAAGAAAACAAAAAAGATCAGGAAGAGGTAGTTTTCAAATTATGATAATCATGATCTGGTTATAGAGCTTCTTCATTTTTTATTCTTTATCACAAAGGGATTTTTGAAAAGCCTTAATATTGACGATCCATCCACCCTCTATGATAAGTTGATAAAAGGAATAACGATGCAAGAGAAAATAAAATGGCTTGTTTGACAGTGTATGTATTAATTAGTCTTTTTGCATCTTTGAATTCCTCACAGGCATATTATATAGTCTGTTGTACTGTGGCATTGTTGATCTTAGGGCTAAAAATATCTCCCCATGTCCCAATCATCCCTGTTCCGATGAATTTCTTTTGGATTTGAGGTCCAAAAACTCTAGCAAATGTTACTGAAATTATAAAAGAGGAAGCACAATTGGATCCGTCTGTTCTGATGTTGCTGGGAAATTTCGTGGTGTAACAAGTACAATATCTCCAGAAATTAAAATTTTGATTGGTGCGTAATGTTACACCCGAACATTGCGGGCAACACTGGCTAGGAATGCTTCAATCAAAAACTTTTAGTCCTAAAAGAAAAGCGTGCCTGAGGAATTGAGTGTGTTTGCTCCTCTGCTTAAATGACAAAGACACATAATATATTGGGGAGTGTTTGGATGCCTTGTAAGTTTTTAATAAAAATCTTTAATTATACCTATTAGCACTCCTTTATTGAATATCATGGACGTTGTTATTATAGTGACTGTTGGATGAATATATACGGTGGTACATCCCATATAGAAAGAACCGTTGATATGCACCTTATTGGTCCATTTTCGAAAGCACCTGGAGTAAAATTTATATAGTAAGAATAGTTCTCGTTAATTTATTATTCCTACCAAGGTAATTAACAATTCTTTGCTTGTAGTGGAGAAAGTCATTCAGATGCAGATAGGGACGAAAAGTCTTCCCGATCGCAAATAGAACGAACTGGAAAAGCCTGCAGTTTCATTTTCTGGGTAAGTTTTGTCTTAAAGTTGTTATAAAATGTTAATGAACCCTTAATGTCAACAAGGCGTGAATAAACAAGTAAAATTCATCCTCAGTCATGATTTGTAATGGAATTCTCGCAGTTATAATTGGGTGGTATACGAGGACATCTTGTTCTTTTCTCATAACATACATCTTCAAGGTATCACCTATAACAGATTTTGTTAGAATAATTCCAAGATACAAAATCATAACTAATACATACCAGCAACGTTTATGGCAAATATATTTAGATCCTTGCTTAGCATTGACTTTTTCAGGAATACTTTAAGCTCTGACCTAGCATATTCAATTGAACCTTAGAGAGAGTTCAATACATCTGATTACGCATCTAATTCTGATATATGACAGGAGTTAATGATTTAATGCTCCACGTCACCTATCCCAAAAAACTAAATCGCCAAAAGATAAGAAGATTGATGATTTTGTATTAGTAATATGACAAGGGAAAAGAACAGGGAGAAGAAGCTTCGAGCTCAAGAGGACTCTCAACTTCTCAGTATATTCCCTCCGTTATTTCATGAGCGGACCAAACTTTAGTGATTGATTCATCTGATCATATGCGTTAATTTAAAATTCAGTACGGTATGATCATAACGTTATGGATACTTTATACTAGCTGAATAGTAAAATAATTTTTTTAGCGAGGCAAATAAAATTTTTTAGGGTTAATTATCATTCTAATTACCAGTTTGCACATTAAAAATACTCGTGTTTAACGTCAAGACACAATAAGATATATAAGGTTGAAAAAGGCCCAAAAAACCAAATAGGATGATATGTTTCTAATACTTCAACAATAAAGAACTTTAACATCCTTCTTTTTCTTTGTTTGCTATTTTATCACTTTTAAAACTTCAAAATTAAAACTCCGCCTAAACATGTCTGATGTGACCAGCCATGCGTGTTTCAAATCCAGACGCTCAAGCACATTATTAATATTATTATTACGTGTAATTAACTTCAAAGTCAAAAACATCAAATCAACACAACTCGTATGTATGCAAAGACAATTTGATTTTTTTCATTTTATGAAATGTAATAATAAAGAATAGTTTCAATTTGTAAAATATACGAAAAAAAAAATCTAGTTTCATATAATAATAATAATTAGTTTAATTAATTGAAATT